ACCACTTCAGACCCAGACACACACAGCTCAAGACATCTTGCCACACCCAGGGCAGCTAGACAGCACAGGATGAACAGACCTTGACCTAGACAAAGATACAAACTGAAAGTTGTCCAACTATTCAGGCACTGAGATGCCTGCCCCATTACAAGTCCAGAAACAAACCCAGCAGCTCTGCAGCACAATCCAGAAAGTGCACCTCTACCATGGCAGAGATGTGCTGGGGGCCCAGGTCTTGAGCTCCACATACAAACTGAAAGTTGTCCAACTATTCAGGCACTGAGATGCCTGCCCCATTACAAGTCCAGAAACAAACCCAGCAGCTCTGCAGCACAATCCAGAAAGTGCACCTCTACCATGGCAGAGATGTGCTGGGGGCCCAGGTCTTGAGCTCCACCCAGCCACATGCCATCCAACACTTCCACAAGCATACACACTCACCCACAACATTCCCCCATAACGCCCCAAGGGCTTGGGCCACCCCTGACCTGTACATTTCTGGACTGGTGTGTCGTAGCCACCACAAGCAAGCTTTTAGGGTTCCACAACTCTTTTCATTAGACTGGATGCTGAGTTAAAACACATATAAAGGACACTGGACACACGTGTGCTTCTACCACCACCACTCCTTAGCCTCAGTTTTCTCTTTCTGGCTCTGGCCCAGTTTTCCTCCTTCCTCTGCCACAGAAACAAGAGCCAGAGAAAGAGGGAGGAAAGAGAAGAGCCAAAAAGAAACATAAAGAGGGAGGAAAGAAAATAATTGAAATAAAATAATTGAAATAAAATAAGGGGAGAAACATAAATAGGAAACAAACAAAAAAACAATAAAGGAGAGGCAAATAGACACCTTTTCATATATGGTGGGGATGCAATATTATTGAATACTGGGAAAAGAAATTGGAATAGGTAGAATAGGATGTATAAAAATACATTTTCTAACAGTATATTTCTGAGAGTACAATACAGAACGATTACCTGAAAGTCAGTGGTACACCGTATCACTATTAATAATATAGCCAGAATTACATTATCCCAAAAGTGGAATAGCACACGCTTCCAAAGTTAAGTGATTTGGTCTCAAACTGTGAGAAATTATGTTAATGGGTAATATTTCTGTAATGAAACAAGTCTTTTAGAAGAAGACCCAAGCACAAAATCTGTTTTTTCAGCAGTGTACTCCTTTAGTTGAATACTGGAACCAAAATTTTCAGTCAGAGACTGTTTAATTAAAAAAAAGTTAAATTACAGATAAGTGGCAGGGGGTTTCTTTTAAGCCTCTCAATCTGGGATCTTCTAAGTGGGTGTCTTCTGTAATTTGTGTTTTTGTATTTTCTAATAAAAACAAAAGGAAAAAAGAAAATCAATATAGAAATACAGAAAAAATATAGAAAGGAAAGGATTAAAGAAGAGTTTAGAGGAAAAGGGGGAAATGAATAGCAAATGCAAGAGTGAAAGACAAAAAACAGAGGACAGAAGAAGAAAAATGAAGGACATGAAAAGATTAACAGAGAAATGATGAATGAGAGAAGAAAACATACAGAAATGAAAAGAAGAAGAGGGAAATATTAATAGAGAAATAAAAAAGGAAGACTGGGAGTTAAATGCATATAGAGGACAAAAAAAGATGAAGAAAAATGAAAGACTAATAAATATGAAACATGAAAACATATCAAGAAAAGGAAAAGAGGGAAAGATTAATAGAGAAATAAAGACAGAAGAGTAAGGGGATAACATTTTTAAACATAAACAGAAAAATGAGGAAGGGAAGACAAACATATACAGAACAAAAACAAAGGACGATTACTAAAGGAGATATGAATAAAGAAAGAAAGAACGTAGATTGAAGACAAAAAATAAAGAATAAATGGGGGGAGGGAGTATAGAGCAAGAAAGATAGATGAAAGAAACTGAACGGAGAAACAGAAAAGAGCAAGAGTCCAGTAGCACCTTGAAGACTAACCAAGCTAATAAAGACCCACAAACTAACAAAGACGGAAAAAAGACCACCTAACAGCTGATAAAAGACTAGGAAAACGAGCTCCCCCTGCCACACATTTTGTGAGTCTCTAAGGTGCTCCTGGACTCCCGCTCTTTCCTATTTCTCCCTTCAGTTCCTTTCATTTAGGAGTGAAATAAACAAGAGGCTCCTTTTTCGGGCCGGGGAAAGAGCGGAGCGCCTCGGCGGGGAGGCGTGGCCGGGCCTGGCCCACATTCCCCGACCCCGGCCTGGCCCCGCATTCCTCCCGCCCTCCCCCGCGCGGCCCCCCCTTCTCCCCCCTCCACCGGGGGGGGCGGCGGCGGCGGCGCGCACCTGGATGACCTCGTTGACCTC